GCAGTCTGTTCTGTGGCAGGGAGTAGACAGAAGTTCCAACAGAGTTTACTTGAGTTGTAAAACCTGAAGAGTATTATATAGGAAACACAGTGAGTGTGTGTATCTGTCCTCCAAATGGGCTGTTAAAGGTGACCTTGGAAATAAATTGGAACAGCCCTAATGGCATGTTTTACATATCTGTATAGAAAAGGACAACAGTTTCCTGCACCTTTGTTATTTATTATTTTTCAAATCCGTTCTAACTGGTGAAAAAACTGTTCACAGGCAAAAGTCCCATATAAATAAAACATAAAAATCTGTTAAAATACTGACCTCTAGAAGCTTGGTATTAAAATTTTCACCTGATGCTACAGATAGTAGTGAAATATTCAAAAGAATCTGGCTCCACAAGAAATAAAACATACTTTAAATGTGGGGAACTTAAAACATTTTAGGAATCAGCTTCTAATGAGTTGTCTCTCTGAATTTCTGAGTTCTCTAATTTTGATGTGGTCCACTTATCCTGCTGCCAGAGAGGTTTCTATAAGGAACAAATTAGGTTTCAGATGCACAAGAAGTGACTGCATTTTTTTACTGCTTTACCAAATTGAGAGCTTAATAAAGTTTAAACTTAAATATTTAAATTAAAAAAAATTAAATATTGCCATAGCTACTTTAATTGTATCCCTATACTACATAATTAAAATAGCATTTGTGAATCGGTTTAAAATTTTCACTGCGCTTGAACTATATAATAAAGAAATATCTCTGCTGAAGCTAAGTCTGGTGAAAACCTTTACCTTGCTTTAACTTATTTTTCTTCCCACAGTGGTCTCCAAATGCCATAAAGCTTTGTGAGAAGCAATCACTGTGAACAATATGCCAAGTGACCCCAGTACCCCAGCAAACTGCTAGACCAGGAGTGCAGCATGGCAGTGGTACTGTCTTCAGGGGCCCTGAAGCCATGTAAGTAATGGTATTAAACTGACTGGTTTTGCTTATGCAAACTGCACCTTGTGGAGGCGGGGGGGAGGCAAATGCTGTTAAAACCACGCAGGTGGTGGTGGTGGAGCATATATTTAACAAGGACCATATTTGGTCCCATAATTTGTTACTTTTGTTACCTCCTGAAATACGACGGCATCTATAGTGAGATCCTTGCTTTCTAGGGACATACTCATGCCATCTGCTGGAAAGTTATGGAATTTAGCAAGTATTTTTTTATTAGTATTTTTTTAGTAGCATTTTATTCGCTGTTGTTTAGGTGTTAAATTCTTGTGCTTATTCTTTTGTAAAAATCTGTAGGTAAATGTAATATAGTTCAAAGGCACTTAAGTCACATGGTCTGGCAACTTTTTGTACATTATGAAAGTATTAAACAAATTGCCAGCATAATTTGGTTCTGATCGTGTGTTCTTAACACTTTCGAGTGAAACACCAACTCAGTTTATCCAGTCAGTTAACACTCAAGACTTCTTTTCTCCTCTTGACTGACTGGTTAAGCATGCTAATGTTATTATATAGTGGACTGTGACAAGAAACAAAGTAAAATAGTATCAGTTCATGTGGAATACAGAAATATCAAAATAACCTGCAGATGATTCTAGATTGAAATTAGTGAGATAATTCCACATTTTTGGTTCCTTGGATAAGTCTCCAGCTTGCACACACCTGAGGTCAGCCTATAAATGCATCTTTAAACACCCCGTCATTGCACATATCCAAAATTCCTGCAGGTATAACTATCTAATAATACAACAAAAATAATGATGGAATTAATCAATAATTAGTGAGGAAGCCTTCTACATCCTCAAAGGTTATGCAGAAAGCAGGACTGTCCTCTAGGTTTTACTATCAAATAGTCTCCAAGTTCTTATCAATACAATGTAGTGAAAAAAACACAGTATTTAAGCATCAAAATTCTCAGCTATGTATCACTTTTACTTGCCTGCTCTGTTACTATTCCATGGGTAAGACCAATTCTGAAGAAATAGAACTCATCTTGCTTATGCAGTAAACTATTTTCTTATTCACTCCTGGTGAAGATATAGGAAAGAAACTGCCGAACACAGAGCTAAATAAACTACCTTGAAACTGCTGCCCATGTGGGGGCTTGTCATGTCCTTAGGCAAACTTACAGACACCTTCAGTCTGCTGGGAATGGACAACTCAAACAGAAGAAGAGCAGAGCGTAGTAGTTAGGAGCAGACAGCAGAGTTAAGATAATTACAGGAACAGGAAAATCAATTAAAAAAACCCCAAACAATCAAACATGAAAGTAGAGCATTATATCTATACAATACTTCATATGTTTTTCTTGCACAGAATTCCACCTTCCGGTTGTAGATGAATCTGCTTTACAGATGAATCAGCAAAGGAGGCTTCTAGCAGTAAGTCTTGATTTATTTATTTATTTACAAGGGTCAGAGAGTATATAATTAGAGAGAGAAGGGATAATACAGAGAAAGTGTGTTCTCATGATTGAGGAGATTGGAAAACCGGAGGAATAATTTTATCTCTGACACCACCAAGTTTGTATATGGTTCAGTGGGCTCACTTAACAACAAAGGTCATCATAGATGGTGATTAGGCCATCTGTTGGGGGGGATTTTTTTCATCATATTTTTCTAGGTTTTTTTTTTAAGTGATGCCTGTGTCATGGTGAGGGTTCAAGTCTGACCTTATTCCAGTAATGTATCAAGGTGGGCTGATTGCGACTACGGAGGATCCTGTATAGTGAAGGCAGATGGGTTGCCTTGTCACTATTGTTCTATGGCCCTGTGCTAAGAGGTATGGAAGGTTACAACCCTGGGACTCCCCAGAGGTAGCATGAACCACATGTGAGCAAGGATTTTTGTCTGCAGGACTTGGCGAGGCAAGATTTTTCTACTCAAGTGGTAACTCGGGCATAACGTATGCACAGTATGTTTTTCATTTGTTGGTTGCCCAGAATGAGAGTATGCCAGGGCTGCAGAAATGCTGGAAGTTCATAAAGACACTTGTGTGCTAAGTACAGAAATGCCTTGTACTGGAGGGATGGGGGAAATATCTTAGGTTTCTTCATCACTTGAATGCACAAAATTAGTGAATGTTTTCTGAACCCAGCAGTGTCAATGTAATTGCACTCCTGTTTTCTGACCTGTAGCATAAGAATGATACAAACAGCTGCTGCAGCACTTATGATGGATTATAGCGTATTAGAGTAACAGGAGTACCATGTAAACATATCAGATGAAACTATTTGTTATCAAAATTAGTGCTAGTGTCAGACTGAGTATGATCTATGACCACATACTGAGCAAGAGAAATACAAATATGTGTTAAATAAACTGTGTCAGCTGAGCTTGATAACATGTAGTAAAAATAGTATCCTGTCAAACAGTTATAGGACATCTACAGGATAAATATAAATCAAGACTGAATGGGCAATTTTAATTTAAGAATTTCCTTAGCTTTTCCTTCCCTTTAAAACCTTTTAAGTTCTGTTAATGTGTTGATTGAGTAAATTTGTACAGTTTTCTTTTTTATTTTTTGTTTGTTTTATTACTGAGGTGTAATATGTATTACAGTCAGACTGAATTGCATCATTCCACATGATTTCAGTTCAAAATCTAAACATAAACAGCTTTGATTTTTCAGCACCCTCTAGAGTAAGCAGAAAGCTCTGACAGCCTTTCCTTTCTTCTTAGGTAGCTGAGATAATACATTCCTCTTTTTGCCTTTTTATTTGACTTCCTGATACTGAACATTTAGAAATATTTATGGAAGTATTGGAAAGAGCTAAATTGAAGCATGTGAAAGTATTAAATAAGTGATCGTATTATAAAAACAATAATTAAAATCCTTTCACATGGAAACCCTACTTCAGGAAAAACTAGCCACCCAAACAGAAGTTTTTACGTGGCAACCAGGAATAATATTAATATTAAAGTGTAGATTTACAAGCCTGTGGCTGGTGTTTTGCCTATTGTAACTCCAAAAGGAGTCTGGAAGATGTGCTATAAGATTCAGTAGTTGTATGCTTACCACTTTTGCAAGAAAATCAAGTAATTGTTCACATGAGGATGGGTCAGCTCCTCCTGTTCCCTCACTGATCCTCCACCATGCTGTCTGGTGACTCTTTTTTCCCTTTACAATTTTATATCCTTTTACACTGGTGCTTTCCCTCATGGATCCTTGAGCTGCTCCTTAATCCTCTCACTTCTGTCTGCAATTGGCTTTTATTATTTTTGCATAATTTTAAAAATTCAGTGAATTTCTCAGTAGTCTGAGCCAAACACATGCAGCTGTCCTGTCTCAAAACTAGCTCACAGTCAGCTGAGTCCATAGGTGAGGAATAAAATATAACGAAAGCCCACTGCTCTTGTCCCCCTGACTCCAGCCATCTCTAATCATACGCTTTGGCCCACCACACCACTGACCCCCCAGCTGAGCTTTCACAGGTAGGTCATGCTACTGCTGCTGAAAGGCAAAACCATCTCAGCAGACTTACCAGCTTTCACGAATGTATAATTAAGGCTGTATACCGGAGTGCGTCTGGGCTGCTTTGTTGGTTGTTGGTAAAACACTACAATTCAGACGAAGGGAGGACCCCAGAAACAGTAATACATCAATAACTCCTAATGGGAAGCTGAGGGTTGCACAAGTTTCTGTCTGCTGTTTCTAACAATGTAAATTTTGTTTTCTAACAGTGACATTAACCTGCCAATAAAAGGCGAACTATTTCCCTATCAGTTTGCACTGGTAATGCATTATTCATCATGCAGAACTAGAGAGCTAAACTGAAGGTCTTTGAGAGAAGGCTGGAGCAAAACACCACAGAAACTTGGTAGCTACGATGCTGTTGATTCTTTCCAAGCAAAATAGAACTCTATCTAAAAAAACCAGTTTGATAGCTTTCTTTTAAAAAACACCTTAATTTGTCTGAAAGAACATTGCAAAAAGAACTGAACATGGGCTTGACGTCTGGAAGTTACACTTGATACAGAGCTTTCTATTATTATCATTTTTAATGTCATAATATGTTTGCTGCTGCAACCAAAAACTTTGTTAAACAGGTTGGTGATGGAGGAAGACTAGTTCCAGTGCCCAGTCTCAGTGAAGCTGATAGATATCAACCTTTGAGCCTTGTGATTAAGAAAAGAACATGTTTGCTTTCAAAAAAATCTAAATTTGCTTCAACACCTTTCACATTAAAAGACATCCTGCAAGGGGAGAAAGAAATTTCTGCAGGTAAGATTTCTATCTTTCTTCAAAGTGGAAAAATGCATGTTTTCTAGTAAATACAGAACAGCAGACATAGTTTAAACTGTGCATGTAGTATGATGGGTGTTTAGTAAATGGGTAATAAATTTATCTTGCTTAGTCTTGTAATAAATAAAGGACGCAATTATACGAAAAGGCCTTGATATTTTCTGAACTAATACGAAACAAATTCAGTTAAGCGTTGTGTTTGTTCACAAATGGCAACAGATTCCTGATGTATTGATGTATGTTGATTAATTGCTACTTAAAATTTGTTTTAAATGTTCACATTTCTTTGTATACTCACTTTTAACCATGTCAGAATGGCCTCAGTTCTTCAGGTGTTCCATGCTAGTTATTCCTACTGATGGACTGGGCTCTGCACCAGCAGAAGCATTTAACAGCTATCTGACTGAAGTAATTGGATTTCCATGTTTTTCCACATTTGTAATCTTCTTTGTGTATTGTAAAAGATTAACTGGGTGTAAATTACCTTTTCTATGCAATATCAGAAATCTTTTATGTGATTCCATGAGAATTAGGAGATGCAAAATTGAACAATACTGCTGATGCTTTCCTATACCTTCCTTTGAAAAGTTGGTGCAATTTTTGTCTACATGCTATGTTTTCTCAAAAGAGTTTCATTACTTTATATTACTTATTTTATTTATTTTGGAAAAAAGTCCATTTTGACAAAAGTGTTGCTGGCATTAATTGCATTAATTAAAAACACTACTAAGACAAACCAGTATGACCATAAGAGGACAGAAATACCAACTGACCTCACAAAGGGGGGATTTCAGGATGCAAGCATGATGAAAAAAGTTGGAGACAGAAAAATCTTATTAAAAAGTCTGCGAAAAAGGTTGTAAAATCTCATTACAAAGTCTCACAAAACCTTACTAGTCTTTTCTGTAAAGTTTAGATATTAGTGCAGAATGTATTGTCCTTTAATGTAAGCAAAGAACTTTGCAATTGAATTTCCTTTTTTATGTGACAAATACAAGCAGTTACAATATTTTTAGAATTATGAAAAACATATGAATCTTTTTTTTTGTTAAAAATAAAGACAAACAGGATTTATATTGGTTGACTTCGTAATGCCAGTTTATCCTGAGTTTCAAAGGACTAAAAAAAAAAAAAAGAGTAAACCCCAGACTCTCAAATGAATTTGAATGCCTAATCCTTCTGTTCTACCTGCTCTATTAGTTTTAATTTGGCAACCAATGCATTCTAATATTCAATGGTTTTAAGGCTATAAAGAAAGCATTATAGAAATGCTTTGGCACTGATCCTTTGATTACACACTAAACTGATGGAAACTTTCAAGTAAGTCAGAATTAATCTGTTGCTTTCAAAATAAACTGACATAGGCCCTGGAATCAACAGACATACATGAAGCATGTGGTAAGTCTTTCTGATTGGGACATGTGAGGTAAAAGTCAAAGTTAATATTACTGGCACACCCTGTCTCAGTCAGGTAAATGTCATCAGTAGTAAAACCAGTGACGAGCACTGAATTGCACATCAAAATGGTTAAGCACAGTAGGAACAGTACCATTTATTCTCTTCTTGTGTAAAAAATACAATGTTGAGACTTTTCATCACACAGTTGTTATCTTCTTTTACTTAGGTGTCTCGTCTTACCAGTTGCTGAACTATGAAGACAAATCAGATGTTTCACTTAATGGTAGAAGAGGAAATCAGATAATGAATGATGTTGGTTTTGATATTGCTGGATCAGATTCTATTGCCTTTAAAGCTTCATTTGGCATTGTGACCAAACATGAGGTTGAAGTACCAACATTACTTAAAGAACTTACTACAAGGTTATATTATGTATTCTGTTTTCTGGTTCTATAATTATATTCCATACACTTAGGTTGAACCTCTAAAATCATTAGGTTTTGATTATTTTTAGACAATCAATAGCCAGTAACCATCTAATATTTTCGAAGAGTCCGTGGTTGGATCACTGGGATTAGACACACAACCTGTATGATGCAGACTGTACAATTTTTCTGAATCAATTCTTGTCTGAATTACAGTGCAACTTTCAGGAAAAAATATAAATCCAGAGAGGAAGAGTCCATCCAAGGTCCTACCTATATTCTATACTATTGAATATTTGGAATTTACTTTGAATAACGTTATCTAACTTTAGGTTTCAGAAATAGGATTTCTTTGCCTTTATCTGATGAACTAGAGAGCTATATGCGTTATTGCCAGTGGAGGTGCTTCAAGGTTTTGTGAGGTTATTACACAGCCTTTCTTTGAAAAGCAAAGTAGATTTACCTACTTGAATTTTGAATAACCTTTTGTTGCTGTTCTCTAAATGCAGTCTCCATTTTTCCAATATCCTTGTTGAGCTATGGACACTGAAAATGAACTTGGTGTTACTGTAGTGCTAGTGCAAATGTCAAACACAAAGAAATATGATACGACTAATTCTAGGTGTAATTCTCTAGTTTGTATTTCAAAGATTATCCCTTGTTCATAGTGTTACCCTGGTGAATCCCAGTGTTGCATCCCAGTAAATAATTTACTACGCATGATGTGACACTTGGTATTTTCAAATTTTCCTGTAGTTATTTACCAAGCAGTGCATGTCATTTTGTATCCATCACCTCTCTTGTTCTGTACCTACCTTTTCCTTGTTTATTTGTAACCTCCAAATATTATGATTAATAATTGAGGATAGGAGAAGAGTCCTAGTCTTCTGATAAGAATATTCAGTGTTATAGGACTAAGAGCTAATGCCTGTAGAAATTCACCTAGAAACATTTGTTTCACGATTGTTCCATGTTTATGAGTGATAGAGTTTTTTTCAGCTACAGTTGACATGTATTGGTTAACCAGTTTTTAATCCACTGATCATATGCCAGCTTGTACAGGCATCATTTAGATTTCTAATTAAAAAGTAAGCTTTATAGAAGCTCAAAAGTAAAGCATTACAGCTATTGCTTTTACTATCTATTTTCTGTAAATTCTTTCTGACTGACATTCATTATATCACTTTTTAAAAAATGGTTATTAATTAGAGTGCATTGTCAGTTCCTTATTGTCACTAAGAACAGTGTCAGATGGACAGACCTGGAATTTTCCAGGATGTCCCACATAACATTTTTATGTTACTGGCTTTCCTTTAATTTTTTTAGTGCTTCTGTTCCCAAACACTGAAAACCAGTATTAAGTTTCCAGAGGTTACCTCAGTCAGTTGTTTTACTGCTATGAGACAGAAGTTGTAGTGATTTATTTACTGTTTTAAAGTTACTAATTCTATTAGCTGCTTTGTAAATTGCTAATAATCTCTGAATTTCCTTCCTGCCTCCCTCTTGATTTTAGAAAAATAAACTTTGATCATTGTCTAGTCCATCAATCAAGGAAAAGTAGGATGGAAATTCTGTGCGTGGTCATGGAGAGTATTAGAACTACAAGGCAATGCTCATTAACTGTCCATACTGGAATGCGTGGAGAGACAATGAGGGTAAATATGTTTGACAAAATTCTGTAACTTAAATGAACAGACATAAAAAGCTCATTTTTATAAATTATATGGTTGGGTTTTTACCAATGTATGCTCAGAAAAAAACTGAAGTAAATCAATATTATTGCACTGGTGTAAACTGAATTAAAAGTTGGTATTTCGTTTAGTATTGCTTATGTGACTGAGGGATGGGAAATGCATGAAAGGATGGCTAGAAAATGAGCCATTGCTTTGGGGGAAGCCTCAGCAAAAACCTACTTCGTAGTTTGAATCTCCAATAACTGTATCGCCTATCTTTCATTTTTATATTTTGTCTTCTATAAAACATTGGAGCTTCACGTTGTTATTACTTCAAGGCTTGGCATCTTACTCCCTGTCTTACGTTCTTCCTCTCTCTACCTCTTTTCAGTGTGTTTTAGTAATTGAACCTACAAATCTTCTGAGGTTTGCCCATTCTTAGTATTTCTAAATAATTCATATAATTTTCAATGCTTGATGCAAGTTAAGCTACTACCTCTGTGTCAAACTTTTTAAAATGAAAAGGTGTTAATAGAAAATTCTTTAATTGTGAAATTTGATGTTCAATTTCAAAGGTTCCTCCTGCCATTATAATTCTTAATATATACAGTTAAGATACTATTGTGTTTATTTTTCCATTTCAATTTGTAACTTAATTTCTTTTGATGCTTTTCTAAATTATAGTTTCACTTTATTGAAGATCAGAATTGTAAAGGGCGGGACAAAGCCATTGTGTTTCCTGCACATACAACTATTGCTTTTAGTGTATTTGAACTTTACATTCATTTGGATGGTAATTTTGGTAAGTGATATTAGTTACTGTCATTACTGCTATTATTTATAATGATCTGAATTTTTAAAATAGTTGCTCTTTGTATACATAAGCCCTGATCCCATACAATGTTATGCTTAGATTTTATGCACCTAAGTTGTCTGACTTTTTAAGAGAAGCAATTTTTGAACAGATAATCAAGGCAGGTGCTAGAAAATAGTCTCTCATGGAAACGTATTTTTAAAGTTAAGTATGATTTTGTAATGTCTTTTTAAATCCCGCAGTTGCATGGAACAAAAAAATCGCTTCCTTATGTTTCTAGCCTGTAAGAAACAGGCTTATGAGACCATCTGATCAGTTTTGCATAAAATAGGAAAGCAAGAAGACCCAAGTAAAGACGAAAATGTGCAGAACTTGTAAATTAAGCTAACATTTTTTTCTGTTGGGGCTTTAATTTCAGTCTGATACATCATTACTGCATAGGATATCTGAAGATATTTAGGAAGCTATAATCACAATTACTGGAAACTAATAAAAAAATTGCATAGCTTTTTTAAGTTTTGCTTCTTTTGAGGAAAGGATAGCACTTACGTATTTACATGATTTTCACTAATTAAAGTGTAAACATTATCAGTGTTACCAAAGTTGTTAGTAATAAACCAGAAAGTCAATTTAGGATTTGATCTAGTACTTGATAATATCAAATGCAAAACTCTACACTGAGCAGGGTAAAGTTAAATAAAGTTTTAACCAGATTCATGTGTATTTAAATACAGAAACCACCGTAGATGCGCTCAGTGGGAATTGTTTCAGGAATTGCTTGAGTCTCTATAATATTGTGGGTTTCTTAAATAGCAAAATAAAAGACCTGATTAGGGAATTAATCTCTGTCTTTGCAGATCTAAATAGCACTATGTTCTAAAAGCTGCACATAGCTCTGTACCATTCGGTATTCACAGGATAAAACAGACACTCTGCATTGCAAAGCACCCTTTTACTGAACTGTGAAATACCTTCCCTTCTGTGAAAACTTTAAATGTACCCCAAACCAGGCATAATTACTAGATTAAAAGTAAAGGAGATAATATTGTATGGTGGTTCTTTATATTCACTTACATATAATGCTTAACATTAATTTAAGGTTTGGAAGTGGTTTAATTTTATTTTACCTTTATACAAGGGTAGGTACATACACCTTTTTTTTTCCTCAAAGTCACTATTAGTGGAATAGCCGATGAAATTGATATTTCTATTTGCAAATTGAAGAGAATTCTCAATTGAGAATGTTTAAAACATGATTTTTTTTTCTTAAAGTAATATTTTACTTTAAAGGTGTTCTTTCAAGTTATGGATAGAAATGTAGGTGATGATACTTTTTTTTATTAAAAAGAAAAAAGTTTTAATAGTTGATTTGGAGTTAGCAGAGGTCACTAAAGAGCTCACAGCATTGCTTATTATTTTTCATTTTTAGTTTCAAATGAGATCATAGAAATGTTTCTCCTTCAGAAAAAGGGCTTCCACTTATATGACATTGACTTAGTCCCTTAACATGGTCTTAAATTGTGTACAAACCAAACCAAACTCTGAGGATGTGTGCTGAAAGCCACAAACATTTTAAAATCCCTGTTGAATCTGTGTCACTTGATTCTGTGGGCTTGTTTGTGCAGACTTGTATTAAAGAGTGGTACTAGCCATTAAAAACAGTAGCAAAGCTGAATTTAGTCACTATTAGCTTTATAGATTAGAAAGTGTATTGAACTATTGTGCAATTACTGCTTTTGTATTTTATTCTTCTAAAAACTTATTTTTAATTTTTACAGAACTCTGTGTGACTCCGGTTTCGAAAGGAGGATTTGAAAAAGAGAAATCTGGATCATCTTCACTGACCAAATTAACGGGGTTAAAGAGTAATCTGTTTCATCGAAGTATGACTTTTGATATTTATATCCAAATGTCTTAGTTAATGCATGAAGAGTGGATTTTTGTTTCTTTGTGTGCAAGATGAATGTTTAAAGAAGAAAACTTTGATGGAAAATGTACCTCTCAATTTCTTGTGTATTGACATAAGCGTAAAGTTATTAAAATTTGCATTTGAGAATCTGACTCACAAATGACAAATTTATGGTATTGCTCTTCATTAAAACTCTAAAGATCCTAAAAATTTATAGCTGATGATAAACTGGTGTGGAGTAATTATACAACTAACTACAGTTAACATTAAGCCTATTTCATATGCTGCATATAACAGCTAGTGTTATGTAATACAAGTTATAATCTATAAATAATATTTAAGGGCAAACTCTTAAAAAATATAAAAGTTTAAAAATCAAACAATATTAATTTAAATATTTGAACATACACTTTAGGCTGTATGTTCACATGGCAAGGACATAGGCAAGATACTGTCATAGCTGCTATTTCTCATTCTGATATGAACACAACAACCAACAAAACTATGTAGCTAGATTTTCTTCAGAACAAGATCATATACTGTTAACACTCCTTAGCCTAAGTATTTTGAAAGTCTGCATATCTGAGTGTGAAGATAAATGTTGAGTAGGAAACACATCCTTCTAAAGGATGCTCTGTATAGATGTCCTTGCTCCATTGTATCCTGGTTTTGATCAAAGGGCTTTTATGGACCAAGCCTTCAGTGCTGCTCCTGTTCATGCTAAGGGGATAAATCTTCAGTGGGTGTGATACATCTCAGTAGATGTAGCTGTCTAAAAGTTTGTCATCCAATCTAAACAAATCAGTCCCTGAAGAGAGAGAGAAAAGGTAGGTAGTTCCAAACATAATTTCTTCCTGGGGTGTTTGGATTCTTAGAAATCTGCTAGGAGGTCAACTTGGAGTCCTCCAAATTTTCTAAATCTGTTAAGTATTGGTGGTTTTAGGTTTTTTTTAATAATTGGGGTGGGGGAAGAAAAAGGAATTTACAAGTTTTAGAAAATAAAACCAGAAATGCAAAAATAAACATGGTTAAACAGGGAAGTATACAGCTGTGATTTGATTTGGCACCAATTTTTCAAAAGCTTACCTCATGCCTTCCTTTTAGGTGTTCTAAAAATTGTCATCAAACAACAAATTTATGGCTTTTCTCAGTGTCTTTTGTGAAATTAAAGAAAAAAATTTCATCACTGAGCTTCTGATGGGAAGTAATGTACAATGTGGCACGTTTAGAATAGTTTTATCAATCAGTTGTTATTTTCATAACTAGATTGACAGGTTGTTTTGTAAACTGTTTATAATGTAACAACAAATCATTGCTTTTTTGTGTGTGTGTGTATTCTTTTTCAGATAAAAGAGTAGTGGCTACCATTGCTAATTCTGATGCTTACTTGGAGGACCTTTTTACAGATTATTATGAAAAAGCTGCAAGCATGACTGATGTCTCTACAAGCTATCTCAGGGAAGGGTCTCACATCCGAATTAATTTACTTAATAACAACATCCCGAAAGGTCCCTGTGTCCTTTGTGGAATGGGAAGTTCTAAAAGGGAGACAGTCTATGGGTGCCTTGAGTGTTCTTTTAATGGACAAAAGTATGTACGACTGCATGCTGTGCCCTGTTTTGACCTCTGGCATAAGAGAGTAAAGTAGCTGAACTAGGTAAGTGCCTGTTGCTGCAGACATGGGCATAACTGTGCCACAAACTTTTCAGAATTAGTAAATACAACTCAAATTGTTGAAATGCAAAATAGTGAAAGTGCAAAACATTTTATTACATTATTATCTTCAAATTTTTGCTTTCTAGTCCATGACCTTTTACTTGAAAATGCCCTCATGCATTCCCTGACATTGCTTTTCTTTCTAGAACCTTCTCCTTTCATTATCATGAAAATGAAAAATGTACTTTTAAACTGTATTTTCGAAATGTCAAAATAAATGCTAGAATATATTTTAAGTTGTTTACACAAACTTGTTGTTTCACTCCAAAATCTTGCCTTTATCTACACTGGCATATGATGAGAGTATTTGTTAATAATTTAGTGTCCTCATGAATGTTTAACTGTAGTATCAGATTAAAACCATGCTAAAACTTAGCTCAGTCTAATGTTTCATTTACAAAAGGGAACAACTAAAACTAGGGGTAGGCGTTTCACATTAGGATGCTATTACCATATGTCAATGGTTTCTTTAGATTACTAAAAAGGTACCAGCTAGTCCACCTTCTGTGTTTGGTTGGATTGTAGGTCACAGCTGCTCTTGAGTTTTTTACGTGTTCATAAAAAAATGCTTATCAGAAAACGTGTTTTGGAAGTTTACAAAAATAACAGAACTAAATCCTTCCAACAAAGGGTCAGGGTTAAGGTCTTTAACCAGTAGATCTCAACCACAGAAAATTAAGTCTGTTGAGAATATAAACACCAGAGGGCGCTGCAGAATTGTGTCCAATGCTGAGGTTGGGAGTGGCGTTGGTTGAAGCTCTCCCCGTGCTATTTTAAACTAGAAAAACAATTTCGGAAAAGTGTTTCTACCTTTTAGAATTACTTTAAGGATAACCCAGGTATGGAAGCTTTTGTACTTACTTGTGCTGCCACTTTCAATGTGCGCATCTCTTACCTGTTGAAAAGAATGCAGCCCCTACTTTTCACATGAGAAGAGTGAAGTGTGTTACACAAGTATTACAATAACATCTGCACAAGCAGAACAGCTAACGAGCCTGAAGCAGGCTATTAGCTATCGCTACCTCTGTACATTTGTCCAAAGTGAGGGTAACCAGAATGATGCCCAAATAATTAGTTATGTTTATATGTAGTATCTCCCATCATCTTCCACCTTGTGTCGTAAGTCACATATGCACAAATATTTAAAACAAAAAGGAATATGTATATAGTTTTAAATCTCAAAACAGAGCTGTAGCTGTCAAAGACGTTGTCACCACTTCATAATTCACATTCATTATTATTTCTGAACTATGAAGCAGCCACACTGGACTATAGATAATATGTTGGGTGATTGTCCTCATTTGTGCTGGGATAGTTAATGTTCCTTCTAGTAGCAGCGCAGTGCTGCATTTCAGCTTGCCTGAGAATAATGGTGATAACATATTGATGTTTCAGCTGTTGCTGAGTAGTGCTTATACTAAATTAAGGACTTTTCAGTTTCCCATGCTCTGCCAGTAAGGGCACAAAAAGCTGGGAAGGTAACTGACAAGGATACCTGACCTGAACTAGCCAAAAGGATGTTCCATACCACAGAACATCATGCTTAGTGTATAAACAGCAGGGTGTTAACCTGGGAGGGACGGATTGCTGCTTGGGTCAGGCTGGGTATTGGTCAGCAGGTGGTGAGCATTTGCACTGTGCATCACTTGTTTTTTTGGGCAGTACTTGGGGTTTAATTCCTTCCTCTCTCTCCTTTTCCTATTATTATTGTGTATTTTAATTTTATTTCAGTTATTGAACTGTTCTTATCTCAACCTTTGAGTTTTTGCCTTTTTCCCCCCCGATTCTCCTCCCTGTCCCCCTGGAAGTAGGGGCAGTGAATAAGTGGCTACATGGTAGTTAGGTGCCAGATGGCGTTAAACCATGACACACCTCATCCAAGTAAATCATGATGGTGTAGATTTTTAAGTTGGTGCTGCTGAGTAAACTAGCTAACTTTTTACAAAGTCAAAGTTTAAAAACCTACTTAAAATACTAGCTTTTCATGAACCCCATTATTCATGTTAATATTACAATAAGGAGGTTATTTTAAGTTTCTTTAAAAACATTTGTGTTTCTATGCTGACGTTCAATAGACAGTGTTCATTTCCTTTAAGGCCTTTTACAGTTAAATTTGCTGCAAACAGCAATTCCTCAAGAAGCTGGCCTAGTAGCCTGCAGAATTTTAACAGTTAAGGCCCTGGAATTCTGTTTTCTCCTTTTATTTTATAGGGGATTGAGAAGTAGTTAGAACATAACTGGTGACTATGTCAACAGGTACTGGAACCATTTTTGTGTGCTTGATAGGACAGAAATAATTACTTTCATCAATATTTTACACAATGAGAAAAACTACTGAGCAATACTGTAGATTAGGACATAATGTAGGAACCACAAATAATAGATAATAGTGTTTTCCAATTTTATTTCTTTCTTTTGAGATGTCTAAAACTTTATTAATTGAACTTAAATCAGATTTTTACAGTCATTTTAAGAGGTATAAAAAGATGCCACCATAAAAAAAAATACAAAAAATTATGTGACAAAGTATTATTATTTAAAATTCAGTGTCCAGAAAACGGCCAAAGATTTTTCTAAGTACTTAGAGTTCATCATGCTGGTAGACATTGTACTCCTTTGCTGATATGAAACCATCTCCATCATGGTCATTCTTCTTAAATATATCAGCTAAGATTTCATCATGGACTGAGGGATGACGTTTTTTGCCATCTCTTGCAAATTCTTCTTTCAAATACTGGCTGATCTAGAAGAAAAGAAAAAAGTCCAACCATCGTGGCTTTTATGACAGTACTCAAAAGCTATCTTCAAGGACATACAGGTTGTATGTATGTAAGTTATTGTGACTCCAGTGCAGGCACATGTTAAGTTTGTTTCCTAGCAAGTCCAAGACATACTAAGGTATTAACCAAAGCAAATTCCAAAATTGCATGGTGTAGTTTATGTAGGCATACAGAAGCTTTACTCAATCGTGCAGCAGAGGCACCTCATGTAAAGATAATGCAACTATAGCAACTATACTTATAGTTTTATACATTATTTATTCCAAATTAGTTACATCACATTACCTCAAGTTCAGAAAGTTTCTTGTCACCATCCTTGTCGATTTGATTGAATGCTTCAACACTGCGAGGTCCCTTATTTACTGCATAAAGTTCAATCTCAAAGATCAGTGTTGCATTGGGTGGAATCTTGATCTGTGCTATGAATAAAAAAAAAGCATTTAAGAAATCAGACACTATGGTCAGAGATCACACACATGATGAATTCACACAGAAAGAGTCTTGGGTTTTTACTACAAAAGGCTGTGTTAATATTTATCTCTGAATTTACATATTATACAGCTAGATAGGGAAATTGTTCACATTCTCTTAGATAAATGATTTTGAGAGAGATTTGCAAACAATGTAATTCCCTGAAATGAAATTACATTGCTCATATCAATTCAAGTACTTTTAAAAATTAAAAGGGTTTGTGCTATCATGAAAAACAAGTTTTTCTGAAGTTCTCACTTTTCCACATACTGTCACATGATGGATTTTATCGAGAGTGGTTCTAAGGCATATGCCTTTATCAAATATCTGCAATCTGATTTAAAAGATTACAGTAATAGACGAATGCTCGTATGTATTTTCTGTGTGAAGAAACAAGCAGGAAAAATCAGGTTTTACCAACTCACTATGAATTATACCTATGGTTAAAGGTCTTGATGTAAAATAATGTTAAAAATATACATCTCATTAGAAAGAAGCAACAGAACGTAAGTCATCTGATTCACACACACACACACACACGAACACCCTGAAACAAACCAACAAACCAACCTTAGCCCCCCCAAAAAATCCAACCACAAACTACTAGAATACTTTGGTCTCTGAAGAAAAAAAAAAACATGTTAGACTTCATTATTCCTGTGTCAACGCATTTTCAGATGTAAAAAACCACTGCCTATAAAACACAGGTCAGTGAATCATGCATCTGACAAAAAAAAGGAACTGAAGGGAGTCAGTAACAAAGTAATGAGATCTAAAAGTAGTGCCAAAAAAGCATCAAGAAATCATGCAGCACAGAATTATAATGTAAACATGCAAGTTGCTTCTATTCATAGCCAAAGCCAGTGAGCATGACATTCTAACCTCAGAATTTTGAGCTTGTGTTCATCCTTCATAAACTAAAGAAAAACTAGAGAATCTACTTTGTTTGTACACAGAAGGTAAACAAAACTATTATTACTCACACTACTCATCTAAAATATCCATAGTAAAAATGACAGGTTTCAGAGTTTAGAAGATTTTCATCTTACAAACTTTAGAAATGTGGAAGCTTTAAATATCTGAATATAAATCATGGTTTACAAATATTTACAAAAGAAAGATACAATACTAGAATTCAGTGCCAGTAGTTTACAAAGATACATACCAATAAATGAAAGATATGTAAAGATTTAGAAAGCCACATGCATCTTTTCTAATTCAAGATTAGGCAGGCATCTTCCCCAGCATGCAGGAATATGCTGAGACATACGCAGAGGACAGGTATGCTGAAGAGAAATAACACTTTCTTGAAGTGCTACCTAGAACAAACAGTTAATACTAGTGTTAAAGATTTGTCAGTGTTTTTCCTTGTTGTTATGTGACTTACTTATTAAACGTTATGCTCAAGTGGGAAAATTTATTCCTAGTAAACTTCACTGGCTACAAGGGAATTGTATGAAAGACAAAATTGGTGCACGGAATTCTGACATAGCATCACTACCAAGCCATTACTACAGAGCAGGAGCTACCTTTTCACAGAAACTACTATGCTCAAGTCAGAGCTGAATTTAAGTTATCTACAGTTAAGTGCTGAAATGCTGCATAAAAACTCTAACTTTTTTCAAAATAGACTGCACACTTAAGCATCATGAATTCAAGTCAGATTTAATGCGTTGTACTGTTGGAATTATGTAATGTGATGATATTGTCCACTAACCATCCAGAATGTAACCAGTATTTTGAAGAATTTATTTATACTTAGATAATTTTGTGGCATGCACTGGATTCCATGCATTCCATTTTGCTCAGAAGATGCAGAATGTCACTGAAAGGCTAAGCAGGTAAGAGTCAAATAACAGAAACTAAACATGAGTAAAATATAATAGATTAAGACAAAAAATGCTGATATGAACCAAGAAGATCTTCCTCTTACTGTCAATTTGTCGTATTATAGCAAGACTTGGAAAAACACATCGGGTGCCAGGTACAGAATTCTATTACAAACTGCAAGGCCTGGGTATGGGTTTATGATGAGGACTACTTAAACTGCATAGGAATGAGCAGGATTAGGCTGCACAGCTGCAGTCATCACCTTCAGTGCCTCCACAAATAACAGGAGGAGCAATTCTGAAGAGTCATTTACAATAACGTGTTTGAAAGGGTGAAACAGAGGAAAGACGAAATTTAGTATTAAAACTTTTTTACCATATTCTTGCTGTCCATATGCAAATGACGGAGGAATGATCACTTTCCGTTTTTCTCCAGGACACATATTCATCATAGCAATATCTAACCCTTTTATGACTTGTCCAACACCCAGAACGAACCACTTTGGATGACCTTCATTTTGCGTCCGACTATTAAAAAGAGTTGTGAATGGATAACGGTGAATTTAGGGTTTTGTGGGGTTTTTAATACAAAAATAACTTTAAATTAGCAGTCAGTAAAAGCATACGTTAGATTATTAGAACACAAGAACGTTTAGAGTGTAAGAATATAAAGCATAACACTGTTTTTCTGCTCCATTTATAATTAATTTAAGGTCAAATCTTGAGATGTGTAAGGTGCAACCTCCTTTAGAAATAAAGTAAAAAACTACTGTATGTGCCAAAGTCATTTGCTTCAACAGGAAAAAAAAAAAAGACAACCACAAGTTAAATGGCAAAAAAATGCAAGTAAAAATTAAAGTAAAAAGTTAAATGTAGAATTATCCTATACTGATTTTTTTTTCTTAAATTATACCAGTGGAGGGCATAAATAAAGGTTTTGTAATAAACTAGGCTTTTGTCTGATCAGTCCAATATGGGAAGGAATGAGCCAGCTATCTGAAGGAAGGAAAAGATTCTCGTCCATAGCTCTGCCCAGGTGAGTTCCACCTCACTTAGTAGGATGGACCACCATTAAAAGCAAGGCACTGTAAAAATAAAGCTTTTGCACAATGGTTTCTGTGCAAGGGAATCTAAACCAAGCTAAGTCAGCCAAAAGAGAGACGGACTGGACAGAGAGAAAAAGTAAAAACCTAATGCTAACACTGGGTCTAAGAGGATGGCAGCACAAATCAAAGAGGAAAACAGTGATAGGGAAAGGGCATAAATACTGCAAACCACTAGCGTAACCACAGGCTGCCCTGTACAATGCCAACTATGTGGAAGTTGTCTAAAATAGCCTGCGTCCCCACCAGAGCTCCTCCTCCAAACCCAAGTGTTTCTGTACAAATTATAGTACAGAACATGGCAAGTGATTACACAGTGGGGGTTTTTTTCACCCTGCTAAAGGGGTTCTCCATGTGAGGTGCCACCAGCAACTTTTCAAATCGGCTGCCAGTCTCAAGCGTGGCTTTGGTTTACAGGTCAACTCGGTGCTGGTCCCTCGACCCTAGGTAAATCCTGCATCCTCTCAGCTGATGAAAAAAAGGCTGAGATGGGGGGAAACGACTAATGCTGCCATCATTAGCGTGGACACCAATCTGTGCCCAAGCTGGGGGAACAGTGGGTCCC